GGCCCTCTGGACTTGTTCCAAGAGCTCTGCATCTTTCTTGTACTGGGGGGTTCAAGCCCGCAGGCCTTTTTTTTTTTTTTTTTTTTTAATAAAAAGTCCTTTTTATAATAAGTACATGCAATGGGATTTCAAACACATAAACTAAGCACTCACTTATATTCTTTAAGTGTGTGAAGAACATACGCAAAAAGACGGCTGTCCTGATTCGTCTGGCAAAAGCATTGCATTTTAAAACTGAAATCTATGGAACTACAAGGTACTGCGAGTACTTTTATGGAAATAAATCTGAGATAGATGCAAGTAGCCTCTCTTCAGGCTTTCCCAATTGTGTATGAATAATCCCTCGTGATGGCTGGAGTAGTCTCGTTAAGCCTTTCTTCCTCAATTGTGCCATGCATCTGACAATCAGAACAGTGAAGGCTTTCATCCCAGAAATCTTGCATGTTATTTGGTTTGGAGACAGGCTGCACAGGAATTAGTTTCTGTTTTTCTTGATGGTGGCATGCGTCTGAGTGTACATGAAATGAAGTGTTTTAAGAATAGGATTTACTATGACTTCCATGGACCTTGGGGAGGAAGGAAGGTAAACAGGGAGTTGAAATAATAAGGTCATTGTAAAATTTTTAAAATAAAATTGGATTCCAGTGGCAGGCAGCAGAGCCCCATCCAGGCAAGTTTAACTGGCAGTCTTCCAGAAGAGAGATGCAAGATCCTCTGAGCAGTAATTGTCTAAATAGAACAGTCTCTGGTTATTGTGCAACTTTTTTGTGTACTTTATTGTACCTTTATAATTAAATGATGTAATTTCTTTTTATCCTTTCTTGTTTCCCTCTCAACTAGAACAGGAAAACATCCAAGCAACACTGCAATCCAAGTAATGGTGCGGACAGACCCTGTGGCTTGCAGGTTTATTTTCTGGGTCACTACAAGTTGTGCACAAGGCATTGCGAGCTGGTGATTGCCAAGGCAGGAAACAACCTCTTCCTTGCCCCTGCTGTGAATGGATGCTTACTTGCACTTCAAATCTCTCCATGCATAGTGCTGGAGGCATTTGGTTCCCTAGAATTTTTTGGTGGGGTGAAGGAATGCTGCTTTTGCTAGAAACTCAGTGGCAGAAAGGCAGCCAGCATCTGCAACAGGGTATGGAAAACACTGTACTTAAAAGGACATTGAGCAGCAGGGCTATTTCATTCACTGAGGAGAACATGCAGACATCTGAGTATTAGAAGCTTAGAGCATTGCACTGAACAAAACCAGGACCGGCATTCCTTGGCTTGGGGCTTCAGCTATCAAGAATAAAACTCTGGTCCCAAGATGTTTAAAGAGTCCATCAAAGATCAAGGCAGAATCGTAGGATCAGCCCCGTAAGCAATTCCTCTTTGGCTGGCCCTCCTCTACATGAGCGCTTCCCCTGAGTCTAAACAGCCTCTTCACAGGAACGAACATTGTTCAAGTGAGTAAAAGTTAGCAAGACCAAGCCTTGGTTTGCATATTTGGCTCCAGTATTTTCCTTATTGATTATATCTTACACATCTTCTGTACATTTTGTTTTGTTTTCAGTTATAACAAAGAGATCAAATCAGTCGTCTAGTTTTGATGCAGTGCTGGAATGTCCTCCAGGCCCTTGGGTTCTTGCGTCTGTCTAGCTCTCCCCAAGTATGCTCACATGTAAAAATCTGTTTTAATTCATTGCCTGTTTGCCTAACTGTATTACTAACGTAAATGTTTTAATTACAAGAAATTTAATAAATACAGAATAGAATTCCAGTAGTGACCCAGAATCTTCAGAAACGGAACTGTTTTGTAAAACCACTGGTATCAGAATACTGCCAAATACCACAGGGCCTGATCCTGCCACGAGCCATTGCCTACAGCTTGTATTAATTTCAGCAGAGTTCACAAGCAGAATAACTGCAGGGTATTTGCAAAGCTAGTTAGGCTCTTAATGACTATTTTTTATTATCCTTTGATAGACAAATCTACCATTCTCAGAACTGGAAGTTTTGCCTAGGGAAAAGTGTGTCTCTGAGTAAATGGATCGCTTAGTTCTGTCCAGTGTAAGAAGACAAAAAAAGAAAAGGAAAGAAAAAAAAAAGGAACTTAATAGCATTCACATTCAATTACACATGGTATTAAATGCAATCTTTGGGGCCAGAAACCACATTAGTTTATCCAGTTTTCTAAGAGGTGTGCCATATTAAATTAGCAGCTGGCAAAGGATGGAAGGTAAAAGGCCCACGTATCAATGACCATTTGCCCTGGAGCTGTGGTTTTACAGAGAGGTATTTCCTCAGTGCAAGCAGATGCACTCCAGTCAGGGTATCTGATGACTACAGGTACAGCACATTTGCAGTTCTTCACATTCACATCAGGCATGCTTTGCCCAAACACCACCCCTGCAATCTCCAACTCCAGATGAGCGTCTGGCATGGAAGGCAAGCGAGACAAGCAGCGTGGTGCTGCCGAGATGAACCGCAACACCTGCCTCCTCTGCAGCACAGAGCTGTGTTCAACATCTGACAGCAGCGGCAGATGTACTTCTTTCACTGTCACCATACAGCTGCGCATCGTAAAGGAATGTCTGATATCTTAGGAGGAAAAAAGGACACCAGTTGCTCTCCCTCATAAAGACAGCTCCATATCAAATTTCTAGTTCAGAGATTTCAGCATGTAGGCATTCTTAATAGGTGGCTATTTTACATTACTTTTTGGTAAAGGAAGAGTAAAATCCATTTATTGTTTTTGATCCAGCTGCTAACTTACAGCAGATAAGTGATCTTACAATACCGCTATCCTTGGTTTTATATGTGAGCGAGTCAGCAGCTGTCAGTTACCAAGCAGACATTGTATTTGCTGTCCTGTGTCTTAACCCAAAGATGCCAAAGCAACACAAAGCATTAATGTAAACATGTGACTCTTCAGCGTAACTGAGACTTACAATATAGGTGAACTCTTCCTCCAAAAAGACCGCCATTGGTATTCAGCATTATCAGTGTCCCTCCTTTCAAGTTTCTTTTAACACACTACAAACTTGTTTGTAAAGCATCCACAGAAAGCCATCAGAGAAGGCAAGGAATTAAGACACCAACATCTGCGCTCTCCTGACTCTGGGGCACCAACCCTGAACATTGGTTCTGTGTCCACCAGCATACAACCAGAGACAGGAGCACAGCGGCACGCACCATTCCAAGCCCAGGAAGCACTATGCATTTAGGGTGGCTCACCACATACACACAGCCTTGACAGCATCTTCCAAAGACTATCCTCTCCCATGTTTAACCACCTCAGAGTAAGGTGCCTCATTTTGTCTATCACTAACACTACCCAGAGCTGCTCTTACACACAACCCATTGCCAAGCAATCTCATCAGCTTCCGGATATTCTTGAGTCTGGGACGAGATGGGTGGTTTGAATGAGAAATGGCTAATTTATTTCAACACAAAAAATCTCTCTAGTAATTGAAACCTTATTTGGCAAAGGAGTTCTCCGTTGCGATGTTTGCCCACTGGCAAGGTTGAAGTTCTCCAATTGTGCCACGAGCACAGAAGGTGCACATGGCAGAGTGATCCACAGCAAGCCCACACCCTCAGCTAGACAGAGAGCGGAAATCCCTCGGCGTTGGCATGAGCACAGAGGTGTCAGAATGCAGACCCTTGTCCATTGCCAACAGGATTGAAGCCACCAATGCGTCCCATGAAGGTCATTAAGTAGAACTGGACATTAAGGGTCACCAGTAACACAGAGAGGGGTGAAAGGTTCTCCACTACATCACCCGTCTGCGCTGCTTCAGTGCATGTCTATACTGTGCTACACAGCTGTATGACTCCCTTTAACACATACAGAACTAAATGCGTACATTGGCAAGTGCATGTGAAAGCATATCCCTCGAGAATAATCAGCCTTAAGCAACAATTCTGTGTGCATGGTCTGAAAAGGGAGTCAACACAGGCTATCAAGGGAGCTTGGGACAGAGAATACAATGTAAGAAGCAGCGATTTCACCACGGTGGAAATAAATCTCTAGAGAACCATCTGAATGCCACAGAAGAACCATGGGAGGGAAATGTTATTTTGCTGTTTGGAGCAAACACGCTGTGGGCAGCAAAGATGCTGTCATCCTTTGCTGAATCCCAGTCATCTCACAAAAACATAAATCTTTTGTGGATGGGATGTATAGACAGGGGTTTGTGCGTATCTCCTCTTGCAATACTTCAGATCAAAGAGACATTTGAGGCAAACTGACCATCATCTTGAGCCACTACGTTTGGGGAAAGCAGAAGGAGGAGGACCAGAAGACTAGAAAAAGAACAGCACAAAAATGCTACAGGCAGACAGATGCATCTCCACTCTGAAAGAAAATGATTCCTAACACTCCTAATAAATTAATCCAACGTTTTGTAACCATTGAAAATATTCCTAAACGTAGCTTAGTGTAAACAGCAAGCCGGGTTTCCTCCTGCTTGTTAGCATTTCTCTTTGTTTACGCTCCATTTGAGGATAGAAGCCTACATGTGAGCACTACTAATGGTGTCATTCAGGACTGATGGGGTATTTGGGAAGGGAATGACGAAATACAGACATATGTAGCATCTCGTAAAATACTATATACTTTGTCTGAGTCAGCAGGCTCAAACTAAAAATAAAATAAAAAATACTGAGGCTCTGCTTTATTCATACATTTTACTTCAGTGTGGAGAATATTCCGATACCATGGTGATGGGCTTACAGAGACAGAGACGTGAAAGAGATGTTCTGAGGTGTGTCTGCTCTCACCCCACTGCTGCCTCGCTCCCAAACCCCACATCACCATGGAGGAGACCCCACAGGAAACTGCCCTGGCGATGCCCTGGGAAGCAGCACCCAGCCGAGGCGCTTTACCCATCACAAGGAGAAGGTTTGGCTAGGGATGCTCACCTCCACCTGGGAGCCCAAACGGCTCTGCTCAGCTCCCGCTCAGCTCGGGAGGGCCCAGCACATGCATTTGGTAAAAACAGCCCTTACCTTTGGCAATCAGCTCCTCCAGCTCTTGGTCGAATCCTTGTCGGTGGCATTTCCTCCAGAGCCCCATGTTGGTTGAGTTGTACTGTCTGTTGCACTCGTCGACCGCACTCATGGCAAAGATCTGCCTCCTGTTCCTTGCCAAGAGGAGTTTCCCTTCCCAGCGGTCCAACCTCGACCTGCTGGCCCTGAGAGGCAGGTTGTTGTTGGAGTTGTAAATAAAGCCAGGATCATTTCTCTTAGTGGTGATGCTTTTGCACCTCTCCCTGTGCTTCCGGGCATCAGTTTCGTACCAGTGGTCAGAGCAGATCGCCACAGCCAGCATGCCCAGGGCACACAAAGCTAAAGAGAGGCCAGCATACAGCAGCAACCTTCCAGCAGCCATACCTCAGCTTCACGGGAACACCATGGACATCTTCACCACAGGCAAAGCCCTTGACCGCGAGGCCACGCCGAAGCCCCGGAGCAGCCGCCGGCCGTCACTGGGCAGAGGCAGCCTGGAGCATCCCCTCTCGCGCGGCTCACATCCACGCTGCGGACGGACGCCCGGAGCGCTCCCAAGTCGTGCCCCGGGGGCTCGTCGGCCTCCCCTCCCCTGCGGAGGAGACGCGGCGAGGAGAAGCGCAGCCTTCCTCCCTCCCGCCCGCGCAGACGTCCCGCCGCCCTCGCCACGGAGGAGCGAACCCGGGGGGACTCGGCGGCTGCGGCCGTTCCGTTAATGTCTATGGGTCCGGCCGGCCGGGAGGCGCGGGAGCGATGGCTTTCGGCTCGGTGAATCCAGCCCGGCCCCGCAGGACAGAAAGTTCAGCGGGCGGACACCTCCCGTGCGGAAGCGGGGCTCTCCCGGCGCCGAGGGGTGACCCGTCTCTTCTTCCTCAGCCGCTCGGCGCGGGCATCGTCCGGCCGGCCGGCTCGGGTTTAAAGAGGGGTCGAAGGGGAGGGAGCGAGGCGGGCAGCGATCCGTCGCCGCCGCGCTTCAAATCGCGGCCGGAGCGCCGGCTCCCCGGCTGCGGCTGGCAACGCGGGAGAGCGCGGCTCCGTCTCTCCCTCGGCGGACTCGGCCCGAGTCGCTCAGACGCTCAGTCGCTCGCGGCCGCCGACATCCCGGCTTCCGAACCGTCTCGGCTCCTCCCCGCCGGCCCGGCCATCCGCTCGCCCGGTCCCGCCGGCTGCGCTCCCCTCGGGCGGCGCGGCCCCGGCGGTCCGGAGCCCTGCCCGAGCGGCGGCCCGACGCGCTGTGGCAGCGGGCGCCCGGGCAGGGCGGGAGGCGCCGAGGGACCGCGGGGCCTACGGACGCGCCGCCCGGAGGCGGGCAGGCGGCTCCCGCTAGGCGGCACGGGTCCTGGGCCCCGGCATCCCTCCTCCACCCCCTTCCGCCGGCGTTCGTTCGCCTTCCTTCGTCAGCGCCGCTTCGGTTTGTCGCGCGCCGCTTTCTTAGCGCACGGGCGCGTGAAGCATCTGCAGGATGAAGGCAGGGCTACGTACGGCTGGAAGGATGCTCGGGAGCGGGGCGGGGAGCTCGCGGGGAATGGAACCAAAACAAACCAGGGGCGAAAAAAAAACACCGCCGCACACCTCAGGCGGGGAGGGGAAGGCAGCCCCTAACAGTTGTCAACAGCTCTGGGTCTGCGCCGTTTCTCTGCCATATGGCCTGATCTCCGACGGAGGAGCCGAGGGTTTTAGCTCAGCAGCTTCACGTGAGACGTATCCTCGGCATCAGCAGAGATGTATTCAGACATCTTTTTTTTTTTTTTTTTTTTTTTTCCTCTTTAAATTTCCTCTCGCTTTCTCTCTAATGGGAATAACTCACCCATCTTGCAGAGATCAAAAGCAACAGAAGGCGCGCTGGAGTCCACGAGCTTTAGAAATCTCATTTCACCGTTTTTTAACCTAAATAAGAGTGGATCCAATCTTCCGTACACCTGGGAATCTTTCCTTGTTCAAACACCGAGCCCTGCAGCCTTGGCTAAAGCCTACAGACAGAGAATACAGAGCGCCGAGCCAAAAGCCAGTGATGTCACCCATGCAACGTGAGACTCATTTCTTATTTCTCTGGCCTCCTTAAAGATAAACTGCACCGCTCTGCAGACAGGAAATGTTGAAGCCTTACTTTCTTACAAGGGGAGAATGTAAAACCTGGATTCGAGTGGATCCTGCTCGTTCTCAGTTACGAGACCTTATGCTGTGTCACCCAAACCCAAGACAACCGTGGCTGTTTCTGACCCCACCTCCTCTCTAACTCGAAGCACGAGCACACCTTGGATTTGAGACCTGGGTTCTACATGATCCAGAAAACCGAGGCCTCCAGACCCTGGATGATGCTGTACAAAAAGGAAATAAGCACAATCATTTCCCTTGCATCCCAAGCTCTGTGTCCTGGCACACCCTGCTCTGTAAGCACCAGCGCATCCTTGGGCTGGAAGCAGGGTCCCACTGCACCCAGTGTTTGGCTCCCACAGGCTCCACAGCACATAACACAGCAAACAACGCGGTCGCTCCTACTGCACCAAGAAGCCCACAGCCCCGTGTCTCCCCAGGACTGAGTGTTGCAAAAGCCTACATCAAAAAAAAAAAGGCAGCACATCTCCTTGCACCTCAGCTGCAAAGTGGGATTTCCAGCCATGTAAAGACATGTCTCCCACTAAACCGTGTTTCTTTTCCAGTGCGCCATGTTGTCAAAGCCCCAAACGAGATTGAGAAGCTCACACTGGGAAGTGCAAGCCAGAGATGCAGTGATGAGTGCATCTGCTAAAACAGCTCGATTGCGAAATTTCAGCGTTGTGTTATGAATATTAACCGTGCCTGGAAAGCTCCAGATAAAGTTGATTGTTTTGTTGAAACAAGGCACCAGTTTACCTATGTTTAGCAGTAACTTCGCTTTGTGGTTCATAATAAAGGTACATTTCTAGGGGTCTAAGCCTTAAAAAAATAAAATAAAACAGCTCAGCTTAGGTGGATCAACTTCCAGAACAGGATTTTTCAAGCAATTAAGTTTTGTAATAAGCTTGCAGCAGCCATACTTGTCTTCCGTTGGGGGGAAAAATCTAGAGCTATGTGGTCAAAAAGCTGCAGGATCCTATAAGCAGATGGACAACAGGTTTCTTCTGTGGCACCCATACAGAGATGAGTGTGCCTGGATTTCTTTGTCAGTTCTCAGCATCAGGACCCAAGCTGGTGGATGAGAGCAGAGAATAAGCCTGATTTTACCAAACATTCTCAGCTGATGGAATGGTTGGATTTGAGATTGAAGAATCCATCATCCACTAAGAAGCAGGAACCAGGTGCTGGTTTAATGGTTTCATGGATCTAATGCTGCATTGTGAGGCAGGATTTAGAGTAGGTGCAGCAGGGTTTATTCTCTATTTAGACTACAGAACTGGAAGACTGGGGGTAAGGGCATGCACTTCCAGGTTTTCTCTTTTTCTCTGAAAAGGTATTTCAGCAGCAGTCTCCATGCATTTTTGTTTTTCTGCCTGTATCTGTAGCTCGATCAGATGGCAAGCTACATCCTCCTGCGAGTCACCTTAAATACACTAATGTAGGAGAAAGTGTTGGATTTCAGGCGAGCTCCACTTTAACTCTTAGGATCAAACACTTTTCTCCCTCACCATCACCATGTCCTTCCTTTCAGGAGGGGCAGAGCACGGCTCGATGCAGCATCACCAGCCCTTCCTCTGCCTCTCCTCGGGATTATTCCCGGCAGCCCCTTCCCAGTGCAAACAGATCATTACGAGATTCGCTTCCTCCCACCCCACACCCACCTCGCCACGGGGGGGGGGAAATAATCCTTGTCGACCTGCAGATGAATGTGAGTGGGGAGGAAGACGTTTAAATAAAAACAGTCCACACACACGTTGCAGCCTCGCCCTGCAGTGAATTAAGGATGCCTTGGCAACGGGAGTTAATTCATCGATCTTACACGAATCGGGCTGTGAATGCGCAGTTTTAGCTTTCTGCGGGTTGCGATTTCGGTGATACAGAGGGGAAGGCAGCGCACGTGGGTGCACGGAAAAATGCCTGCAGGCACGGGACAGAGGAGCGGAGCCCGTGTGGCTGGGGGTCAGCTGCTGGTGAGGAGCTCTGCTGCCTGTTAGTGCCCAGCGCTGCCGTTATGCTGCACAGTAGGCCTGCCTCTCGCCCGCTGCCTCCCAGCGCTGCTAGCGCTGCCCCCGGCTTCCCTCGCCTCTCACTCCCAAACCTCCTCCGCAAACAGGAGGGCAGGTATGGAGGTGCACGTAGGTGCTGGGCAGAATTCATGAGGACCAATCGCAATTTGCTTTTCTTCGGGTTATTATTATTTTTATTATTATTCATCAAAATGACCTCCACCATATTTTTCTTCTCCCTCTTCTTTTTTTTTTTTTTTTTTATTTCTATTAAAGAAAAAGGGTTCAGTGCCATCTAGTGGGGGAGGGGACTGAGCAAGCCACCACAATCCCCGTTGCTTGGGATCAGTGCCATCGATTGGATTTATTTAGCAGGGAGAGATGATCCACGGCATTCCCCTTCTCTGTGTGCTCTTCATTTCCCAAGAGGTGACGTGACATTTACACGGGCTCCATCCTTCCCTCTGCTGGAGCCCAAGGAGCTCCCGCTACTACTATGTTACCTGGAGCTGCGCTGACCCTGGAGGCACTTGGCTGCTCTAATTACAGGATGTAAAATGCAAGACAGCAATCAAACCAAACACAGATAGGGCAAATTATATCTACTAATGTTTTTTATCATCCAAATGCACCTTGGATACCGGTGTGAGTGAATCCCCATTATGCCAGCCATACCAACACAGGCGCACACGATGCTGCCTCTCACACAGAAGCTTCCCATAGCAACTCCCACAAACAGCTGAGCCATCAGTCCAACAGACTGCAGGGTGTTGAGGGGGTTGAGAACCAAGCAGAAGCTCTGTAAGGGTAGATGTGAACCTCAAAACCCCACAGAAGTTTGTCAACTGCCCTCTCCCCTGACAACTCCCACAGGTTTCTGCTTTGCTGCATCTCTACAAAAAGCATTTGAATTGCAAAGCTAAGCAAGTTAGTGAACACTAGATCTAAGCCCACCCATGCAACATTAATTCACCTCTCACACATGCACGTTATGCTACAATCTCTCATTGCATTCTTTTTTTTTTTTCTTTTTTTTTGGTAAGGTTCTCCTTTCTTTTTCAGTGCAAAGGACGGATGTTGCTCACTTAATGAATGCTATTCAAATGTTCTCCTATCCTTATCACCCCGACGTGAGGCGCATGTACCATTTACCACAGAGCATCCAGACCTTGCACTGAATACAGAATGATTAATCTCCTCACGGGCTTTTCTATAACGGTGCTCTCATTCTAATGTTTGCAGGGTTGGTTTTTTTTTACAAACATCAATGAAATTATCTTCCCAGTTCCCTGCTGAGAAATGCAGATAAAAGCCAATATTTCCAAACGTGTCAGGGTATTTGGGGTGCTCAATTAAAGTAGCTTGGAACCAAAACTTTCAGAGTACTTAGCACTTCCCTTCCTTAGAAGACAGCTCCCAGTCTCCTTGACTCCACACACCATGGTCAGTATTGCTACCAATCAGTGCAAGAGAATCTGAAACAGAATCCACAGAAAACATGGATCACACGGACATCGGTTGTGAAGACTGGCAATTACTTGACTCACTCAGCTTCATATTAGCAGCTCCAGCAAAAGAACAAATTAAAATCCAACTACAAATTTCAACTCAGCTACCTTAACTTTCAGGCTATGACTTTTCCTAGCTGTGTTCCTCTGCTAGGCTCACTACACAGCTTCCAAACTCTTGACCAAACAGCCACCATACCTGGGCTGCAAAGCCCTAATTCATCAGGCATTTGGCATGAACGGAAAGTGACTTGGTGTAAAAATCAGTATTTGGTCATGTATCTTCATGAACACAAGATGCAAATGAACAACATTTTGTGGACATTCTGGTGTTTTCTTAAGGTCTTAGTAGAACATAGTATCATGAATACAGACCATAAAATGGCCTTGGTTGAAAAGGACCACAATGACCATCCAGTTTCAATCACCAGACCAGGCTGCCCAGAGCCACATCCAGCCTGGCCTTGAATGCCTGGAGGGATGGGGCACCCATAGCCTCCTTGGGCAACCTGTTCCAGTGCGTCACCACCCTCTGTGAAAAACTTCCTCCTAATA